ACCAATTACGTACATGCATATGCTGGTTCCCCAACACAGTCATCAGAGAGTCATTAGTAGACGAAACAAGTTGAAGTGGCATATGCCTCCGATGTTCGGGCGTGTGCGATTAGGGAGGATGCAATTGCATAACATTTTGCACACTCATCGACATATTCAAAATCACACGCCCCCAATGACCATACAAAATGCTCTCCAGAGTTGTAATCTTGTAACCAAACTTGTAAGCAGGGGTGCAAGTGATTTTGATCGACTTTCTGTTTCGCTAATAACTCGACGGAAAACACATTCATTGATACGTTTGTTGTTTTGGACGATAGAAGAGCATAGCAGAAATAGTGTGAAATAGGTTAGTGAAGCCATGGTCATCAAAAGAGGAAATTGTCTAAGCCCCTCAATTCAGTCGCCCTCATAGCAATGAAAACTAGCATCGCACCGGTTTTGGTTCGCCTGTTTGGCTGTTCGCCGAAAAAAGTGTTAAGCGTCTTTCTGCTAAAAGCTAAGATTTACCAACTTGTTGAGAGAAGGAGTTTAACGAGAAAAACTAAAAATGGGAGGAGCTTTAGTTGGATGGAAACTGATATTTTGCGACCTTCCAACCTGTCGCAGACACCAGTTCAACCTCTGTCGAACAGCAGACGGGCCGAGACTCTTGCGAGTACCCAATCATTGAACCGAAGAATATGGTATTGTCCGGTCCGATTTGCTGATCCAGCTGCCTACACGTCATCATCATCTGCCAAAGGCTTTAAGTGTACCATCGGCCCTTTTCATGCCACCAGATATCCCAAATTAGTTAAATTTCTGAACATGTCCCAACTAAAATTCACATCAAAAGGTTCTTTTCAGGGCAATCGTAGTCATACTAAAGAGTATAAACAGAGAGAACCCCGCTCAAATTCCTATTCCTACATAAAACACAAGCTCCTGCTGCTGTTAACAAATAACATTTATTATATAAGACCACGTAGTCTTACGTCACCATTGCGTACAACCCTATAGGGCTGTCCTCTGTAGTTTTTTTTTTATGTTTAAGATTTCTGGTCCATCAGGTTTTATTCTGAAGATCTTTTATTGTCCAACAAGTCAAAATCAGTAATCAAACTCAATAACATCCTCTGGATACACATAAAAAATTTCCCAAATTTCATGGGAGGTAAATTCCTTCAACATCGAATTAGGTAGAAGTGACTGTATAATCATTTGAATAAGATTTGCATTAAGCCCTCTAGATGTTTGCCCAAGACTTCTGGTTCACCAGGTATTTTTTATGAAGATCGCCATCTGATGATGATGATGATGTTAGTGGTCTGCTATTCATTGTAGCACGAAAGCTAGTCCGGATAGCTGTGGGCTCTCCTCACTGTTGAGCTTGATCAAGCTAAATAACCTCTGATTGTCATCAGCAAATCGCTGTATGACGGGCCAAAAACAAATGGATGGATTGTTAGGCAATTCACCTATTCATTTCCTTGGGACAGTTAAGAATCTCCTTTCAACAACTTGATCAGCCAATTGGTCAGAAAACGAGCCATCCAATACAAAGATGCCCCAATGAATGGGGAGAAGAGCCCGCCTTTTATCCACGAAATGTTAGCAACGGGGAGTTGACATCTTCACTTTCCCCATCCAAATCGCTCAGGTTAAGAAAAGAACCACACAGTTCGAAAAGTAGTGTAAATTTCTGTTCAATATGATGCACACAAATGGAGCATCATATATCATATAAGTTTACATTATATATCATGTAAAGTTCTAGCACAATTCATGCAATGTAGCAAATATTGTATACAAAAGCCCATCTTTGTAAACAACATTGTTTACAAGTTGCTCGGTTGTGTGAAATTAAATTTAAATTTACGTGAATGAATGTTTACATCACAATTAAAATTCAGAATTTTTATCTGTGCAGATCGGGGACATACCCGAAGGACTCGACTGGTCCATGGGTAGTCTACTTTCAGCCCAAAAACCATCCTTTGGCATTAGTCTTCGTTAGTGTTAGGCAAATAATGACAAGAAAAATTGTAACGAAAACCGTGAGTGTTTTTAATTCCATTGTTTTGTTTATAGAAAATCTCAATTTGTTTCTTCTGCTGCATATTTGTTGATTTCCATTCTAAAGAGAAAGAAAATTATACAAATTTTCTTCCAACGTTGGGTAATAAATTGGTATACATTTTACGAATTCCATTCGATTGGTCGTAAGGTAATTTTTACTCAATGGATTATTGATCAGGACTACTCAAAATTTAGTTTTTTTTTTAACTTAATTTAACCTAGTCCCACGGAAGCCAGGTGTTGAGTGAAAGGAACTCAATTTAGGGTCCTTTTCTTACCGTGTGGTATGTTAAGAGGGATGGCAGATATAATCTGCCTCTTCTTTAATTTGTTTGACTTGCCCTGTCTAAACCAAGCTTTAAGCTAATAGTACGTTCAGACTATAGCTGATATCACGTAGTATAGGCTTATATTACATGATATCAACTATAGTCTGAACGTACTATGATGACAAGATGTCAGGTTAGGCGTGTAAGAATGCATGAGAAAACTAGTACTGTTTGCCACAACTCTTATTTTACTAAACTTATGAATTGATTACACGCTTAAATAATAATGCCACGAATGGTTTAAGTTCACCTTTTTCACCGGTGGAAACTAACGATTTTAAATTGGCTCATATTGACCCATTGTTCCCAAGCTAATCGATTAACGTACCCCATTCTAGTCGAAATTCTAGTACTACACTATGTTTGTTTTGATTTGCCATGAAAGTTTGACAGATAATATGAGGGGTTCGTGAATTTTCCTATGTTTCGAGGGGTACATCGATTAGCTTGGGAACGAAGAGAGTACCAGAGTTGAGTCAAAAAGTTGAGCACGTTTCTTCGGCACCTTCTGGTCTTAGAGTTACCTCAATGGTAATCGAGGTGGGCGACACATCTAAATTTCAATTCTAGATGCTCTACAGATCTCACACTAGCGAATCAATAACTGCGCAGCTGTAAAGCAAGACCACGATTAACGTTGTTGGGTTCGATTCCCAGACCGGTCTAGTAATTTTTTGGGGTGAAAAATTTCTCGATTTCCCTGGGCATAAAGTAAGATTGTACTAGCCACACAATAATACTAAGGCCAAAATGGTACAGGCTTAGACACATCTCAATTAACAACTGTAACATCCCAGTGAGGACGTACATAGTTCGAAAAATTAGAGTCAATTCCTATTCAATATGATGCACATAAATGGAGCATTATATATCATATAAGTTAAATTATTGATCATGTAAAGTTATGAAACATTTAATGAATTATTCCAAATATTGTATGCAATCATCCATGTTTGTAAGCAATACTTCTTGCATGTGTTAGTTTGCGTCATAAGAAACGCAGGTTTACATGGATGGGTGTTTATATCACCAGTAAAGTTAAGAAATTTTGTGCCAAATAAGAAATTGAAAAAGAAACATTGTAATCCCGATATAATCTTTCAACTTTTTGAGCGAACCCTCAATGTTTAGCATTTTTACACAGGCTCATATTTTTGCGTTATGAACTGATCATTGCAAATTAAATCACCCAACTGGTAAATTAATCCTACCGGTACATTGGTGTGATTTTGAATAACAGATGAATCAGCCTACGGTTGAAAATCTGTTCAATAAAGGATAAACGAACGAACGTATTTCTGCATTTTAAACTATATGGCCAGCTTTGAAGCAGTATAAGAACCGCCAACATCCTTCTATTATTTATTTCGCTGAAACACATAAAACAAATGTCATCTTCCCTACAAATTGTCACGGCATCGAAGGCACCCTCCGCCTACCGATCACGCGCTCTCCGGCTGACCCTGCATTGATCTTGCACGCAGATATCACCCCCTATGGGTAAACAAAAAGTGTCAACTGAACCGTTACGGAGTTCACCGTCTGATAGCGATCTGCAGAGCACCCACGCGGGCCGAGTTGCGGTGCAGAATCCAGCCCTCGCTAACGCCTTCGCACACGTTTCGCAACAACATCAACGTTTTCACAGCTACCCTTGTTCACCAGAAACCGCCCGACCACCCCACGCACAGCGATGATCGGTATGAGTCATGGTCCTCTGTTACCGTCAAAACCGCCACCGACCGGCAGAAGCACGTGAGCCCGTGAGAGAAAGAACGAGAGTAGGGATGAATTTCACCCCACTTGTCCCATCCGGGCACCCCTCGTTGTTGGAGCACGCCGCAGCAAGGGTGGAATTTTCCATCCGTTTTCAGCTTGTTTTCACTCATACTCGTACTTTGGTTACCAGGATTCAGAATCCTCCTGACACGCACACACTAACACTCTAACCTTACACGAAGTTGAACCGCTTCTGAACATTTCTTTTCACCCGAGCCCGGAAAAATCCTTGTATGCGAGGAAAAGCACATTTTTCTCCGAGGTACCAGCAGCAGACGTCATCAAGGTTTTTGGCGAGGCGGAAAATTGGGAGGAATTTTGTTTTTTGATGTTATGCAATTAATCCGAGGTAAATATTTTGAATTAATGAGGAAAAAGTTCCACGATTCCGATGGTTGCGATTACCGATTTCCACACATGTAAAACATAGAACTTTCGTTATGTAATGGGTTTTTGCGACTGAGACCTGAACAATGATGAGTCGCACATCCCGAATTTCATCAACGCAATTTCCGACTCAAATTAAGTCTGCTTCCGTAGCTGCTTGCTGCGGTGAGAGCTCAGCGCGTCGGTTGATCGATTTCCAGACATCCGATGTAATCCAATTGCCATTTCATCGGCAAAATTTCCACACAAACAATTTCGAAATTTTCACTGACACCGATTGACATTGATTTTTCTCCAGTAGTAGCAGCGAGTGCAATACAGCTTCCGTCGTCGTAGATGGATGGAAGCCAACTCTCTGGGGCCCCACTCTGTAGCGCTCCAACTGTTTGTGCCAATAGGAAGGCTTGCTATATCTATATCGAACGATAGGTTTTACATATGTACCGATAGAACACAGCGCGATGGGCAAAGCGCCACCCACTACTCTCGATAGTGCAAAGGGGGTGAGACAGGGAAAATCCGACTTTTCCAAAACTGCTGGTTTATGATTTTCCACGACCGCACGGTTTGAACTCACGAAGGAAACTGATTGGCCGTACGGGCGGCAGGCGCTCCTGGTCTCGTGCCCGAAGTGGTAACGTTCTCACACGTTTGCAATATTTTACGCGAGTGTGTATGATGGACGGTGTACGTACCTACTGTGGTAGCAAAAGTACTTAATAGAACTTTGCTTGGGGAGCGATATTGTTGATGGTCTTGAGCGAGGAAGGAAGCCGGCTGAACGGTAACCTATTATGAATAGGCGGTGTGATGTGGATGGGCGATAGGGGTGCTCCGTTTTATGATCGGTCATGGCTGTATCGAAAAGTGCTACTAACTAAAACATCAGTGCCGAAAAGGGCTACTGAGGCATAAAGAAGTGCGAATTATGGATGGGGAGGAAAAATTTGTGAACATTGCTAAAAAAATGGGACAGCCTAATGTACATACAATGTAAATACAAATCAGTTGAAATCAGTACCCCGTCGCATATCGCTTCGCTTTTAGATGCCACTTTGTCTCTTTTCGGTTTGTGGTGTCCAAAGTGTATCTTTTCGCGTGAACCTCTAGTGCGTATCACAAACGCAAGTGCCGCGTGGAGTGAATAGTTTTTAATAAAACAATAATTACGGTGGAAAGCGAAAGAATCATCAATTTCAGCCAGGGAAATGCTAATCAAACATACTGTATATGAGAAATCAATGTATAAAAAGTTATTCTTGAAAACCCGATTTCTTAGGAGTCACCCTACATTACATACTAAAAACATCTGAACCATTAGAGATAGAATTTGTTTTCCTGGAGCAAATTTGTTCAAATGAGATGTTCTACAACTCCGTTGAACATTGCGGATCTCTGTCTCTAATAATTAAGTAACCATCCTAATGGTTCCTGTGTTGATGTGATCTAAATATTAACTTTTTAGTTATCTGGGGTAGAGCACCACAATGCTCGACAAAGCTATAGAACACGTGCTCGATCCAGATCGGAAATCAGGGCCGAATCGTTCTGAGGAGTCCTGATGAATGTGGGCGTCTTAGTGGAATAGCTGTTTAAAGAGATAGAGAGAAGGATTAGTAATTTCCATTTAATTCCACTACCTTATTTGCTTGTTTTTAACAGATACGCGTATTTCGTTTACAATGTGCAGACATCGCATTTACCGAATATATATTAACACAGGTACATGAACACTTTGAAGCTAGGTAAATTTAAATTTAATTTCCTGCAAGAACAGGTACTCCGCTGCTTACTCGTTGATGTGTCCTAGGTGGTAACTTGAAAAGCCATGTGTGTCCGTTTCCTTGATCCCTGTTGAGTAAAGTTGAATTCCGCTGTTTGTTGATTTCTAGGCTCTCTGCAACAGTCAATTTCCATGGTGTAGATACGGTTCGTAAAATCGTGATGTCCTCCATCGATAGTTGGTGGTCCTCTGTGAAGATGTGTTCTGCAACCTTTGATTTGAAATCATATGTTAGGCCTTTTTCCTCTTGCTTTTTGACCTTATTAACCTCCGCTAATGTTGATGACACAGTAGGCTGCGCTTGAAAGCTGACCTGTTTTTCTTTTGCTGTGCATTTTTCGACAGCGAATTAAATTTTGTTTGTTTGTTTTAAATTTGTTAATTTGTGTGCTGAAATTTAGTTTTAAGTGTCCATAAAGTTATCATTTAGTGATGTATCGTGTTTTGCCTGTGATTGCCTTGAGTGACTCGGTTGACCTTGAATCTAACCTCCAGAATCTACGACGAAGCTTCAATTGTATTGTTCGGTGTAGGTTCTCATTGCCTCCCGGGAGCCAGATTCTTCGAGTTCGGATGGCACACTTTCGGCGTGTAGTTCTATTGAGAGATTCGTCACCGTGGGCGATTTTGAACCCGGTCCGGTTGGTGAATTAGCCCGGGAACGTGTTGATAATGTGTCTGTCGCGAGTTTTGGTCGTGATTCAGCCGTGAATCAGCAAGTTTTCCACTTGCAAAACTGCTCGGCTGCTGGTCTCATGACGGTTCCGGAGATTGCGAGCAATATGAAAGATGCCTCGCTGGATACGCCCAAGACTGGACGGGTGGTAGCTGGTGGCCGCGAACCACCTCCCAGATGACCATGGCAATGCAAGAAAATTTGTGTTCGTTGAAGGAAGTATTATGATAAAGGTGCATCACGAAATGAGCTGCAAAGCTTACAGAAATTCAAAACTACGGAACGCATGGATGGAGGATCAAGTGAACATGGTGAGACCAGTCCAAATACATTTTACAATTAAAAAAAAACATAAACTAAATACGTGCCTGGATTGAAAAGAATATTTTCGAACCTGGAAGCGTGTATGTCATACCAATATCCATTTGATAACGGTGATGCATACATGGGGGGCTAATTTTAAGTGAAAGTAACCTCGGAATGGGCGTGACTCTCCAGACATTCCGAAATCGGTTGCTGGATCTGTAATAGAGCTATCACCTTCTAACTCCCGGACTAAAGCTGTCTACAATGACCATAAATGCGACATTGTAGAGAGAGTTCTTCCATAATAACACTGCCGGCCAGTGGGGATTAGATTGAATACACACACACATATACACTGCCTATAACCCCATATCAGTCCCATATGGAAAAAGTAGGCATTGAGAAAATGGCAGCTGAAGTTAAGAAGTGCAATTTCCATGTAAATATTAAAACAATCATAATAAATTAATCGACAATTTTGTCAAGTTAAAATCAGTGGCAATGAAGCTTGCATGTATTGTTATATTAACGAAAAATATGGCGATCCAAAAAACAGAAATGTGGCTAGACCTTGGACGATTGAATTTCAGGATGGGACTGATATGCGATTACTTTGCTTGATGGGACAAACTGACTTGATGTTGTTTTCATATTTTTCATGATCAAAGGCCGTAGTTTTATCACGTAATATGAAAGTGGATGCCAATTGATAGTGGATAGAGTTATTATCTTAAAATTGAAGAAAATCCATATGGGACTGATATGCGATTATAGGCAGTACACACACATTAACCTCCGCTATATGTTCTTTAAATCTAGTTGCTAAAGTTCTCTTGGTTTGTCCTACGTATACTTTGTTACAATGATTACAGCTTATTTTATATACACCTGCTTTACCTAAAGCATTCACTGGGTTTTTAGTGGATCCTAACAATGATTTCAACTGGTTATGTCTACTAGTGAAAACTAAATCTAATTCGAATTGCCTGAATCCTGAAGGAGAAGGAACTTTCACCAAACCGTTAGTGGAGGTTTGTTGACGATATCTTCAGCGTAGTTAAACGGGAAGCCCTTCCACAAATTTTAGATGAGATCAACAGAATTACCAAGGATATCAAATTCACTCAAGAGGTACAAAAAGACGGGAAACTCGCAGTTCTCGATATTCGATAAGAAATTTACAGGAAACCCGCAAGCACCAAAAGAGTTATCCACTTAGGACACATCAACGAGTAAGCAATGGAGAACCTGCTCCTACAGGAAATTAAATTTAAGTTTACCTAGCTTCTAAGTGATAATGTGTTAATCTATATACGGTAAATGCGATTTTTTTCCTCAGCCGAGTATTAGTACAAGACACTGAAGAAGTCTGCACATTGTTGACGAAATACGCGTATCTGTCAAGGATAAGTAAGTAAGGTAGTGGAATTAAATGGTTCTGAGGAGTTTATTCTATGTGCATACTTTCGTTTCTGTCGTTGTCTGACTTTTGTTTTATTTTTCGTGACCATCGTGGGTTCAAACTCAAGCTCCATGACAGTATGAAGTTGTGAGAGTCACATTGATTTCTCATAATGTTTATTAATTTTTAAATAGCTTAAACGATCGTCAGTCGTAGATTTTTTTGTGTGATCTAAGTAGCTCAGTGGCCCATTAGTGACCGATTTTGCTAACTGAGAACTGAGAATATTGTAGATTAAATTGTTTGTTGTTCGAAGTTTTTTTTTTATCTTTTATAGAAGAAAAAATGTAAAAAACAAACACCGAAAGAGTTTGGTCGAACCAGCGGGTTCAAATATTACGTACAGTACTGGAAAAAATAAATAATACACCATGATTTTTTTGACTCTTCATCAAAGTTTAAAATGCCGTTACTTTCCAGTATCCTCATCAAAATTTATTATCATATCATATTTCATCAGGGTACTACAAATGATTAAAATTTAAGGAATTGGTTTCTGCGCTTATTGGCCATCAGATGTCACTACTGTTGTTTGTAGCGACATCTGTTGGAAATTACGCATAAACTGATTTCCATAAGTTGTTAACAGTGTACCGTGCAGTCAATAATCTTTTTTTTTAGCTTTATTAGCGAGATTTTTAGCGCAATGGCTAGTTCATCTAATAGTTAATAATCGAGTATCTGACCCTGCAAAATATGTCTGGTGTCTCTATATATGCATTTAGATTCACATCCGAAGTCCCTCCTTTTGTGCATACTCGGAGCAATAAATACTCTCTAAGCCCCGCCCCTAACATTTATTTTCGCCATTTTTATGAATGAGCTTAGAAAGTATCTTTTGTTACGGGTAGGGTAGATAGGGGCAATATGGTCCTGCTAAGAAAAACACATCATAAAACATGAAAAACATGCATAAATGTATGATAGCCGTGATCAACTCATGATTTGGAGTATGCTTGATAATATACAGTGTACAAAATATGGATAATATATTATATAGGGGAAATGGATGTAATATCGGTCTAAAGGCCCATACATAAATTCAGCAATCGACTAAATTTTCAATACTGACCAAAAATATCCATTAGTATCACGCGTTCATCTAGATAAAATTGATAAACAGCAGATTTTTAGCGATGGGCCCAATCTTAGATCCATGGGCCTAACATTAGAGCCATTTCCCCTAGGCATTAAACTTATATGTTTGAAAAATGTCAGTTTTTGCTCTGATCAACAGCCAAACTTGGCAATATGAGCCCTCTGGTAAAAGTAATCGTTTTGACAGGTTTTCGCTAGAAAATAACATTCAGGAATCATGTGAAATAGAAACATAAGTTCTT